TTATGACCAATTTTGACATCCTTTAATACAATTATACAATACAGATCTTTAATACAATTATACAATACAGATCTTTAATATAATTATACAATACAAGGCACCATTTTGAAGTGCCACTTGGCTGGAGATTAGTTAGATGGGGCTTTTCTTCATCAAAATCTTGACTCTTGTGCCTTTGTGGTGGATATTGTGCACTAACCTTTCAAGGATCAGAAAGCCAAACCAGCTATGAACTTCATGAAATTCGAATAATCATGTATTCTTTTTCTAAAATTTGATGTATTACTATCAAAGCAAATAAAAACCACTTAAAAAATATTTGTTGAAACAAATTGCAATAGCTCCCCAAATTATGATCAGAAGGCATGAAATTTTGTAGTGTTTTAATGTACCAAGTTCAAAGAAAAATCACAAATATGAGAAAATTAATTTTTTTGAGAATTAGTTTCATAAATATATGATGGTTTTTGTTTTCATAATTTGAAATAAATTCATATAAGACATTTCTTTTTATTTGATTTGATTTTTATCATATAAGTAATAATTTATTTCAATTAACACAAGTATTGAGTGAAATTCATTAAATTTTTATTAGATGAATTATGATAGTTTAACATTTTGGATGTCATAATAAAAAAAATAAGAAAAAGGAGAAAATTGAATAATTAAAATGAATAAATATCATCACTAGAAGGTGTGATTTGCACCAAGGTGACATAATTCTTGTCGTAGTGTCATATTTTTAGAAAGGATCAACTTCTATGTTATCTATTTGGTAAAAATGTTAATGTTAAAGACAACAGAAAAAGAAAGATAAATTAATACAATAAATTTTTAAATTAATTTTTCTAAGTAAATAAATTAAAAAAAAAACTCGACACTGTTTGAACAAAAAAATAGAATAAAATATTAAATATTAAGATTTCTATATTAATCTCTATTTTTTTTTGGTAATTTCCTTTATTCTAAAATAGTTTTTAAATCTATTTTTTAAAAAATCTTAATTATAAACAATACCAATATATTAAGATTTACAAATGAGTTGAAACTTGCTTTAAATATTACACATATTAGATGGTGTACTAGAATCTTAAGTGGTATTAGATGATGTTCAATTTGTTATAATATAACACTTCAAATATTTAAATACACCATATAACATCATTTTACAACTATAAAGTTAGCTTTTTAAGTAACAATTCAACAAATATATCTTAAATCCATCTGGTTTTGAAATTTTTTAACGTGTAATTTTTGTACTTATTATACCTTTAAAAGTATTTCAAGTTAATATTTTAAAAAAATTGCCACAAGTAAATTTTGATACTTTAAAAGTTCAGAATCTACAACAGTACTTATGTAAATTTCAGTCATGAATGGAATCCATAAAAATTGAAAATAATAAAAAATAAAAACATATTTTTATGGCAAAAGATACCATTGATATACTTGTAACTATTTGCAAAAAACAAGTGATGTACATTCTACATTAAAAGAATACAAGTATGGTAAATAATACACATAAAATAGTAAAAACTATATATATATATATATATATATATAAAAGAAAACCTTTAAAAATGTTATGTAATACATCTAATAGAATTTTATATTTTAATATATATATATATATATATATATATATATATAAGTAAATAAAAATTATAACTATAAAATATATATTTTTATATATAATAAAATATTTAACTCTTACAAATTAAGAATTGTATATGGTGGAGAGATTTATATTTTTCTAAACACTTAATATTTTGTATGCAAGTGAAATTGTAAAATATTAATTATGATTCTTATATGATTGGAATAGTATATATATAGAATAATACTTGAAAACATAAATAAAAAAGAAAAAAATTATTTTCCTTTAATAAATTCGAATATCAATACATTTGGTTTTTTTTGGTATTTTTAACATTCAAAAAATACTTTTCAAATAATATAGATAAATTTATAATTTGAGGTTTGATTTAAAAATTTCTTATAAATAATCTTAAATTATTTTTTGCATAAATATTTTAATAATAAAACTTAATTAATTATAGCCTAAAGAATAAAAAGCATCTTCATCTATGTTAATTAAAAATAAAAATTTCTTTAACCAAGGTTATTGTTATAACAAATTTTTAAAAGACTATGACTTAATAAATGTTAGCAATAGAAGAAAACAATTATAACATATAAATTGGTTTGTTTAGATAAAATCCGTACTGTTAGATATCACAATCTTTGGCACATCCATCTATTTGCTTGTTCATCCATGCTTCCTTGTTCCCATATTCCATCTTTCTCAAATTCTTAACTTCCCATATTCTCTAGTTTACTAGTTCCTATGTTCCCTTATTCTCAGATTTCTTAGTTCTCATACTCCTTGGTTCCTATATTTCTTGAGTTCTTTGTGTCCCCCCTATTATCTTCTTCAAGGCCAATCAAAAGGCTTCCTTGTCTCTTTGTGTTATATCCAAGTTGTCTTATATAATAGATACATTGATGTTTATATTTAAACTTGTAGTTATAAATAGTATAAATTAAAAATATTATATTTATAAATTATATCATATTACTAATTGATACATAATTTACATAAAATCTACAAAAGATTTGTTTAAAAGTGATTCTTATAAAACCATACATTTGCTACTTTACATTCTTTCATTTCAAGAAACTCCAAAGTTTTAGGAAAAAATATCAGTAGAGAGCAAATTTTATAGAAAAACAATTTACAAAAATAAAAATACATTTAATTTTAAATATTTTATTTTATTTTATTTCATTTTTTACAAATTTTATTTTAAAATGCTACTAAGTTAAAATTAAATTTAAAATCTAATTACTACAATGATTTAGAAGAGATTTCTTATAATATAGTTAGAAACAGGGAGAATGAACAAATGATAAATACACATTCCTCATAATTGTACTCAAAACCTTGCCGTCCTTCTAAACTTGTCAAAAATCACAATGTCATTGTTAAAATATTTAACTAATAAATAAAAAAATTAAAATAACAACAATGAAAAATTATAACATCGAAAAATTCGGAAGAGGAGGCAAGAGAGGGGGAGTAGACATCATAATCTCTTCCTGTGCCCCGACACACTCCTAAACATAAAGAATATACATAAGTATTAAAAGCAAAGAGCTGACATGGCAACATGACTTGGGAGGAGGAGGAGGATATGAGTGAGAGCAAGGGAGATGGGATAATTGTAGGCATGTGAGAGAAGCCGCATCTGAATGAATGACTTGGTCGGCAAGGCCATTAACACACACCCCACAAATCCACACACACTCACAAATAAATACACACACACACACACACACATATATATATATATATATATATACACACACACATATATCCCCATCCCCACCGGAAGCATTGTTTTTTCCAGGCCAGAATCTTCTGGAAGCTTCAACTGTTTTCGCTAGCTGCTTCGGTCTGCTGCTGCTGCTGCTGCTTCGTTTTCCTGCTCCTCTTCCTGTTGTTGTTGTTGTTGTTGTTGCTGTTGTGGCTGCCCCTGCCAGCTCCTCCTGCTCTTGTACAACAAACAGCAAGGCAGGTGTGGAGGTGATGGGGAACTCTGTATTGCACTGTGAGTGGAGGGAGCATGGAGGAGCTAGCTAGTTAGATAGATAGATGGGGGGTGGGATTGTCTCCCCAGGGTCTTCCTCCCTCCTTTCCTCCCTTCGAGGTCTATTGCCCCTCCTCTTCCTCGGAATCATGGTCCCCACTCCATAGCTCCAAAAAGCTTCTCATTGTCTCTTGCTCTGCAGCAGCACATACTTTGTCTTCCTCACCAAAACATTAAATAATGGATCATTAATCAGCAAAAGGGTAAACTCCCTTATGTTTCATAATAATATGTGAAGAAATATGTTAAATAATGGTGGTTGATGTGCTGGCTCTCGAGGTTAGTAGTTCTTTTGTTTTGTGTAGCCACCGAGCTCAGGTATTTGTGAGAAAAATGAGGACCCGTCTTTCCATGTCAAACTTGGATCAGTGGGTGGCGGGTAAGGTTGTTTGTATGGGTTTTAATTGGTGGTGATTTAAGAATGGTTGGGTGATTTGGAATTTGCCTTCTCACGGCATGACACCGATTGTAACAATTTGGGTATAAGAAAAAGTAGACGGACTTGTACACTTTGTGTTCCTATATTGCAACGTCTCTCTTTCCCAAAGTGAAGGAAAGCATGGAACATGGTCATTACGAGAAGTGGTCAGTAACTGTCTATCTTCACAAGCATCACTAGCGTTGAGTTGCGAAACTCTAACAAGCACAAGGTCATTCCACTCGGTAGCACAGCAATTTCACTTGAAAGCCATTCTCATATACTACAAACGTCCACGTGATGCCCAAGTCCTCGGGTTCAGAGGACAGATACCCGCGTCTCACGAGTCAGGATGCACGAGGGCGCTGCTGCACAGCATGCATAATCATTGCTCCTCGCAGTGATTCACATGACACTACTCCGCACTGGTGTCTGTGACAAATGCATGATATTTCTCGGTTGATCCGCATCAACTACCATGTTCTGAACAGGTCATGATCATATTCAGTTTGCAGATAGGATCTCGTCAGCACGCCTGAAAGGCGGAAACCATTTGAAAAGGTTGAGGGAAATTGTGACTCAAGGAACCGTTAACAGAAGTGCGTGCTCACGGTCAAGGTATGCATTGCACATCGACAGAGAGCTCGGGGACAGGAACAGTCTACACGAACTGGAAGGTCATAACTAGACGTTTGAATGCATCAGAGCAAGCTGGCAAATCATGCAATGGCTTTTCTCAGTCGGCTTTTCCCACATGCCACAAGAGACACGAGGTGGTTGCTGAGAACTTAGAATTCGGTCTCCAATCCACGGCTCTCAGTCTGTGCAACATGGTGGAAAACTGGTCACATCACAATGAGTAACGAATTGCGGCAATCAAAAAATCTCAAACTGAAACCCACATGTGAAACCAAACGAGACACGACGCTTGATATCCCTAAACTGACATTATTGCTTTATGTACTTAGCGAACTGGAATCGAAGTTTAAACAGAAGAAAACAAAAAAGCTCCTAAATTACGATCGAGGAATGGTGTAAATTCTACTCACGGAACCATGAGTTCCTAATCCCAAAAATGAGCCGATTTATATCTACACTCTTCAATGGCTATCAACGTAACCAATGCTGTGTAACTGAGTGCTCGGCCTCGGCCTGAACAAGTGTTCAGATCTTGCGTCGCGATTCGGAGGTGCCTGAGTTAGGTACCCATTTCAACCACTTGGAAATGTCGTTGAAATGTCGTTATGCGGCCCGTCTGTTCTGTACAGTTGCTAGGGCAACAACAGTGGTGAATTATCCTGCTGCCGTTGTGATTAGCTCAGCCCATGGGGTGCGTGCCTACGATGTGATGTAACATGCTAACCTCTGATCTACTGCTCCTCAATTCTTTTCTCAATGTTGTACAAGTGTACACTGCCACCACAACCAGCACAACTCAAACTTGAAGTTGCAATTCCGCCATCTTCGCTCGCCAAGTGAATTGCACTACAATGTATTGGTGGTGACCCATTCATCCGTTCTCGCTTGAATCTGTGCCGAAATCTTTAATCACTGCACACATCGCAATCGCTGCAGATGAGTGGACGCCCAGGCCATGTTCAACCGCACAGATGTGACGATCTAGATCCTCAATCACGGCAACAATCCGACGAACCATGATGCAAGTGTTGGCACTAGCTGTGCACTCATGAGGACACGGATGTGGATCCATACCAGGAGCTAAATCGACTGATCAAAGAAAGCGCCGCCTTGAAACGACTGGTGGACGGCGCTCAATCTGCAATACTGCTGCTGGTGCATTAAATCATACAAGCCCCCTCCTGAGAAGGCGCCTCCGAGAGAACTCGAAAATGGAACATCGGACAGAAGCGAGGGGCCGAGAGCCGTCTCCACAGTGTCCACCTCAAAACTAGGAAAGCTGTTGTCCATCACAGGCGGCAGCTGCAACGCGTTGTCCAGCATTCCCACGGAACCATGAGAGCTGGGATGGGAGAAAGTGGGCGACGAGACGGGGAAGCTGGGCTGAACCATGTCCGACACGAGGGACCCAAAGAATGGAGCTGGGATCGCGCCCAAGGAATAGTGCGCCTGGGTGCCTTGCAAGTCAGTGCAAGAGGGGAAGGTGAAATCTGAGGGGCTGAACAGGTCTGCAGTGTCGTTGCTTTCCATGCTGACTGTTGTGGATTCCCCGCCGTTGGGTACCGCAAGTATCGACCACGAGTTTCAGCAGATTAACTCGCGGATGTGAGATTCTTTGGGCTGGAAGTTTGAAGAAAAGCTATTTGCTTGGATTAAGCGTTCAAAATGGGTTGTAGACCTCAGCACTGTCGAAGATACTGAGTATTGAATTAGCTGATAATGCCTAGCAAAAGGAGGATGAGAGAGCTTCTGAGCCTAACAAACTCTTCATAAGGCAAAACCCCAAGAAAGCATCAAATTTTTGAATTAGAACAGGTAGTAATTTTTACAGAAAGGTGGAATTAATTTGTAGGAACAGATTCTGCCTAGAGTAGATAGAGTGGACAAAAAATACCCTTGTTGCAAGTTAATGCACATTTTTAAGTACAAGGTCCCCACAGTTTTCAAAGTGGGGACATACATAGGCAAGCCTACTCTCCCATTGGCAACCTTCACATATAAGGCACAGATTTCAATGGTCCTTACTTTATCTTCACTAGGTTGTAAGATGTCCTAACATTCTGAAATTGTGCAAATATTAAATTATAGCTCTTGTGATGCTAAAAGAATAGCTTTCTGAAGTACATCTACATTGCAAACAGCTCAGCTTGAGTCATGTTCTTATCCACTTGCATCCATTAACTTGAATGAGGGAGAGCTTGTAATAAGTCTAGGCCAAACCAGCCAAAATATTCTGTATCAACATACCAACAGCATTTAGTAAAGGCCACTGGGTTTCTTGGTACACTCAAATTACATGGTAGTTCACTGTTCAGTTCAATAGGTTTCTGACCATGCCCAATGATACATGTGTTACAAATTGGATTTTAAAACTTGGGATTTGGTATAAGTTCCAACTCATTACACAGCCCACATCCCTCACAAAGCCTCCGAATGCTCCAAGCATTCTGTCAATGTGCTTAAATAACCTATTCTTATCATCTACATTTTAAAATTGTGAGAAACAGTTATCATGTGAATTGATAGGAGGAGGTCCAAGTAAAGGATACAGTATGACAGAGCCTATAAAATAAGCAACCCATGTACATCACTCAAGGTTGAGTCAAGTGATACATACCTTGCCCATGAGTTGCAGAGATGCAGTCTGTCTCAGATGTATTTGCAGGGTTCTGGTTTTGTAGGTCTAGTTAAAAGCAGACATCTTTTGCAATGGCTATTTTGAAGAGAATTTCTTTCCATTCTTCTCAACTAGCCTGCAATCAGATTCATATTCTTCACCTTCTTCAACTTCTTCAACATCAATATATGCTGTTTGTCAAGACCTTCTCTTGTTTCCACTTTAAGGTTGTAGATCCAATCTCTGAAGCCCTTAGATTTTGTAGTTCTTTGCTCAAGTTAACAAGCAATTTCAAAAAGGCTGAAGTGCTTTGCTTGTTCAACTACAACCACAACCTCATTTTTTTGTACATTTTCTTGCTAGGGTTGCTCTATTCTTCCTTTACAAGAGCCCTTTTTCTTTAATTGCTTTACTCATTACATCCTCCTAGGATGTTATTTAGTCTCTTATGATCAGATCAAGCCTCTCAAGAGAAAATTCTTGTTCTAAGAATTTTGTTTTTGTTTTTTGTACAACCTGATTTTAATCCTCTATCAAACAAATCAGAGGTGTTTTTTTTTTTTTTCTTATTTGATTTATATTTCTACTTGTTTATGTTGTCATTATCTATGATTGCAATAACTTTCAATGAGTTCCCTTCTTGTTCATTTGATCATTTGTTCATTTCATTTCACATATTTAGAAAAACTTCTTGCCATGCTTGTATTTTGACAATAATTTTTAAAGTGCTATAAGGCTAAACTTTGCTAGTGTTTAGTTGCATATAATGCTTCTTTAGGGAAGTTGTTTATCTTCTTAAATTGAATATTTCTTGGTACTTTGCAAAATAGATTTTCTTTGTTTTTGAAAATTACTCTATTATACTACTTACACCTTACATGCTCTTATAACTAACTTAATTAGTCATAGAAATAAATTCTACTTCAATAATCAAAGTCTCCAATTAAGTCTTTTGTAGTTGGCAAATTTTGTGGTTTTAGATCTCTATAGAAAGAGTCTTCTTTTTGCATACACTTTAATCCTTGCAAAGTTTGCAAAAGCCTAACTTCTTACTTTTGACTCCAAAAATATTTGTCTTAATTCTTAAAAGACTACTACATCTTCTATTCTATGTATTCAAACACAAAGAATAATTTATTATTTTTTCTAATAATCTTATTTAATTTTATAATATTATATATATATATATATATATATATATAATCTTTTTAATCTTTTTTATGGCCTTTACTTCATTAGAACCATTTTAAATGTTTTAAAAGTATTTCTATAAGTCTCAATTTATAATTACGGAATAATTTAATATTGATCCATTTTAATTTCGGCACATATTTGGCTTAACCTTGCTCTTAAGATGGTTTGGCTACATTAAAATTATCTTTTGGTATTAATAAATGAAAAATTAAGACTATCAAAATATAATTTTATTAAAAATTATTCTAAAAATTCATTAAATATCTTAGGACATTAGTTAGCTTTTCAAGACAAAGAATTCAAGGATATAATTCTTGTTGCAAGGATCAATATTTTTGTACAATCTAGTTTTGTCTCTTTGTTAAAAGATTTTGAGATGATTTTGCCTTCTTTAATTTATACTTCTATTTTGTCTTAGCTTTTCTTATTACTATCTTTCATTATAACAAAATTTGGAATTTTTTTCTTCTTAAATAAATTATTAAATGTATGGAAAATCTTCTTCATGTGCTTGCATTGCAACAAATATTTGAAGTGTTATAAGACTAAAAATTCCAATATTTAGCCACATACAATACTTCCTTGGGGGAGTTATCATTCATCTTCTTAAATTAATAATTATTTTTTACATTGCAAAATAATGGCCTTTATTTTTGTAGATTATTCTACCACATTATTTGCATCTTATTTGCCTTCATAACTAATTTAAAGAGCGACAAAGATAAATCCTACTTTGATAATCAAAGTCTCTAATTATGTCTTTTGTAACTAACAAATTCTTGAGTTTTAAATCTCTATAGAAATAGCCTAATGTGTACATGTTTTTGAGCAATTGCAATTTTTTTAAATCCCCACTTTTTACTTTCTACTTCAAAAAAGGTTTGTCTTTATTCATAAAAGAATAGTATAACTTATATTCTATGTACTTCAACACAAAGAATAGTTCATCATTTTTTCCAATAACCTTTTTAACTTTATAATAATTACATAATTTAATTTGTTTTAGAGACTTGAATTCTTTCTAAATCATATATCCATCCTGTAGATAAAACTTCTTCTTCATCTTCTTTATTTCCACAAATTTATTGGTAACATAATTAAATGTTTTTTTAGATACTTCAATAGGTCTCAACTTCTAACTATTACATAACCTAATATTGCTCCATGTTAATTCCTACACATAGTGTGGGACTACTTATTTTTTATTTTTTATTTTTGATCCAAGAGAAAAATGGCCAAGAAATCAATTATTTGTGCCCTATAATAAAAACACATGTTTATAGATAGAAGAACATTTTGAATTTAACAATAAACTTATTGTTGTAGAAGTCAAATTTAAAGAAAATATATAATAAAAAAATTTCATGCACAATTAGAAGAAAGATAGGTATATATATATATATATATATAAACTAACTAAAAAATTATTCTATTATTATTATTTTCTGTGTATCTTTAAAGCTTGTAAAGAAGGACCAAAAAAACTTCTGTCTTAGTTCTTAATTAACATTAGTTTATAAAATAAAATTTTAAATTTTAAATAATTTAAATTATAAAAATAAAATAAAATTTTTCTTACAAGCAATTTAGCTTCTCAAATAAGCTTCTGAAAAAGCAACGATATGGTTGCTGACCCAGGGAATTGCCCGAGAGAGGGCGGGCAGCCCAACAGAGGGCAACCTGCGGGCAGCCCACCTGATTGTCCAAACCGCGCTTAAGCTCCATTGTCTTCCTGGTTTCTATTCCTGTTCACGAGCTCAGAGATTTCGCTAAACCAGCAAGCAGATTTTCTACCGGAAATCATTCATTTATCGATGCTTTCACGCAAATACTTTCATCCACCCGGTATGGAATTCAGATTTGCCCCGAGTGGATAAAGTAAACCCCGACCATTGGGAGGTTAGATTGGATCGTGTCTGTCTGTCTGTGTAGTGAAGTGCTGCCATGGCGATGGTGCTGTGGATCTTTCAACTGTGAAGGCTGAGTGCGCTGCATGTTTATTCTCCTTTGAGGAGTGACGCTACGCAGCTGGTTATAGGACAATGGCTGCAATTTCACATGTTTCCGGGATGATTGGTTGCCGTTTGGCACCTTCCAGCAGTATGCGATGCGGGTTGCCAGGAGACAGGCCGAGTGGTGGCATACGAGGGAAACGAGAGTTACGTTTTGGGATTGGCAGGGGGAGGGTTAAGGGGATGCACGCGTGGGCGTGCAAGGCAAATGAGGATGAAGATGGAGGAAACGAGGTTGTGAACCCCCTGGATTTGGAGAAGGAATTTCGGAAAGCTTTGGACAGTGAAGAATCCAAGGTTAGTGGTCTTCGGCCAGTTTGAGTGTTCTAAGCATTTCATGTGTGAATCTTATGGGGGAATTCCGCGGTTGGATTACTTGAGGACAATCTCTAATTGATTCGGGAATTCCTACATGCGTTCTGAAATTTTGAGGTGGATTCGATAAGCAGTTGGTATTTATGCATCAGGATTCCTGAGTTAACTGACTTCGAATTGTGCGAACAAAATATTTCTAAATTAGGGTTCCAGTGTTAGCTGTTGTTGTGAAGTGTTCAACCTTTACGAGTATTACCACCTTCGCACATTGTGCTGACCAGGCTTTGATGAAAGATTTAGCCGACGCTACAAAGCGTGTTTCAGAGAAAAAAAGAGAGCTGGATGATATATCTCGTCAGGAGAAAAAGGTTCAGGAGCTACAATCTTTCCTTGAGCGCTTGGATGCTGACCAGCAAGTTGCCGATTCCGAAGTAAGCTCCGATAACTTCAAACTTGGTTTCTCTAACAGGATAGAACGGCATGCATAAGATTGTTACACGAACTCGAGTCTCGGTCTTACCAGTAGCATTTCCTCACATTTGAAACTTTGCAGTGGTTGGACATGGAGAACTTAACGAATAGGCTTGACACGTCCATGGTCTAATGCACCAACGTCCAACAGTGTTAGCAGGAGTGTCTCTGGATATGAATGTATCCAGAGCTATATCATTAGAATTGTATTGAAATTCTCAATGTCTTGTGCCACTGCCTAGGTCCCAAGCAATAATCGAAACCATGCTGTCCATGGACTTGGAGCACTCTACTAGAAGGAGAGTTATATTTTATACTTTAGGAAAAACAAAGCATACATTGGTCAAATGTTTACCTTTACTTAACAGACTTCATATCCTTAAAGGTTTCAGAAATGGAAGAGGAGGTTTTTAAGGCCGAAGCAAGTGTGAGGGCAGCTGAACTTGCTTTGGTTATGGCTCGTGCTGGCGACAGTGGCGCGGAGCTCTCTCAAAAGTGGGAAACGGCAAACATTGACGAAGATGCGGAGCGTATTGAATCCGGCAAGGTGTGATTTCTTGCCTAAATTTTTTTATGAAGCTTTAGCCACGCATACTTTTCACCAAATAAGTGTGTCATCAGTCTAGAGGAGAGTTGAGCGATCAACAAGTATTGGTAGATATTATGTAAAGTGTACAGCTGTTGTGGAGGGGTACGTGTGCTATATTCTTACATAAGGAAGCGTAGAGCCGGTCTTGATATTAAAAGCTTAAGTTTTGACAGCTTTTCGAAAAGATTTTCTAGATTGAAAAACTTGCAACAGAGAATTGATGATTGTAGGGTTCTCATTTGTGATACAGGCAGCGGCCCTCTCTGCAGTTGCTGGTACTTTTGCCAGCCTCCCCTTCACTTTTTCCGTTGGTGGAGGCTTAACTGTGGGAGCTCTTTTAAGTCAAGCTGGCATCTTACTCAGCTGTGCCTTGTTTGGTGTTACCTACCGATATGCCGTTCGTAGAGATCTGGGAAACGTGCAGCTCAAGTCCGGAATTGCCGCTGCTTTTGGAATAGTTAGAGGTATGGGAATTTGATACAATCCCTTTTTACAATGAATTGTATGTAAATAATGGTCATATCTCGTTCTAACCTTGGTTTGATACTTTCGCACAGGTGCTGGGTATGCTACACAAGCGCTGACCGGGTTTCCAGAAACAGGCATCGACAGTATTCTCAAGGCAAGCTTAGAAACCGGAGAAAGTGTCCTCCTCTTCATAACTGCAGCAGTAGCATTAGATTATTGCCTTCAAAACAATGTACTTTCCCCTTTCCCCTCAAAAAAACAGCCCTAGGCGTTATCAGGTTGAATTTCATATTGCAAGCTAGTCACCATGTCTTGAAGGCCAGTGACCTCCAAAATTGTGCATCTGTGGTAGTCACCTACTTTACATTTTCGAATCAGTTTGATTTTTCTGTACATATCTCAGAACTAACAACCTACTTTGAGATAGCTGTTATTTGTTTATTCTCATCAGGCTTATGTGCATAGCAGTAGTCTAAACGTCCAAAAATGATCTTTAAGGCTGAAAAGAAGGTCAAGAGGTGCATTCATTTGTGAGCATTAAAGGTGCCTTGTTAAATCTGCTCTGTTAAAACTGACCTTGATGATCTGGATACCAGTTACCCGCTTTCATTTTCTGCTGGAAGCTCACGAAACTTGCCTGACAAATCAGGAGTTAAGACACATGGAATCCAATTAGAGACAATGGAAACATCGTGCTTGTTTATACGCGACAGAATGATGCTGCGAGTCTGCAACACCCTGTACATGTCAACGTTTGCAGCTGCACTAAGCAACGAGTCATTGCCACCGTTGAAGTCTATGGTTGCTATGCGGTTTGTGTGTGGCAACTCTGACATTGTGTGTCATGGAAACGATGCTTCTCAATTTGCGTGAGATATGGCAACGGCTGATTATGAACATCATGACGGAAGCACTTGGCTCGATGGGCCTAGTACCGTAAACAGCCTTTGGCCATCAAGACATGCGGTGTTGACTTCTAATTTTGTTTTTGTGACATACCGTAGCAGGTTCTGTAGTGTAGCAATGTCTGTAGTCGGGCAGTCAGGGACTGTCTGGTTTTGCTGTCTGACATGGTTTCCATTTGCAGGAAATGATTCTAGCATCTTGTCGGACCTCCTGGTTGGACTCATTTTCGAAATCCGGTGCTGGAGGTGGCAGACCTAACCTTCTGCTAAATCTCAGGGAAAAAGAGCATTCAAGCACTCCCAATCACCATAGTTAAATACTTGTTTGATCGATTGTAGGAAGGAATCAAAGAGAGGCTGACTATCTCAATCTCCTTCGGCAAAGCAAAAATGTTGTCTCAAACCTACAAGATTTTATTTGAAAGATGATTTGAGGCACAAAGCTTAGCCACCATAGTTTCAATTCTCTTGCTTACAACATTATGCTATGGTCATATCTATTATTGGTCATATCTATTATTAACTGAACAATTTGCAATTAGGTTTAGTTGATTGTTGGGGTTTCAAGCTAATTCAATTGAAACAAAGGTGCACATGAAGACATAATTTAGGATTTTGTGTTTCAAACTAGCAAAATTAAGTACTGACCTTGTTTCTAAACTACAAATTGTGTGAAATGCACAACTAAGCTAGCTATTATTCTTTAAAATTTTAGGTTGAAAATTGTAGCAACAAGAAAAAAATTACATTTCAAATGAATTTAGGACTATTGATTTAGTTTTGTAATCTTCATCTATCTACAAATTAATAATATATCTATCCTCCCTTAGAAGCTAAAACAACTTGGATACAATTGAAAATGCAAGAATAGAACTTTTGATACTACTCAAGAATAATAGAATTGAAAGAAGCTTGCACACACTCCTTTAGCTAGTGTTGGATACTCATTTAATTTCCGTTTTATAAGTGCTCACATATGCTCAATTAGATTTAGGTCAAGTAATTGAAGAGGCCAAGTAAATAGACCAAAATTTTGCATTGATAATCATTGTAAAAATGATTTTGCAATATATTTAGCATCATTATCATGCTAAAATTTGACACAAAAAAAGGTTAAAATAATACCACCCAATTGTCTTTACAAATTCATCTTAAAAAATGCTATGATAAAAATCTTATTTTATTTTTTCTTCTATCTTGCAAATATAATCTATGCAACAAGAAGTCATACAATTCTATAGAAAAATTACACCACCTCTATATTTAAGCGTCCAAATCACATAACAAACTTGTAATTAAGATTTTTTATCCTTCATCCAATACCAAGCACAACCATTAGACTAAAATTGATTGATCTTAGTTTCATCACTAAAAATCACCTTACACAAATTACAAATAGTCCAATCTTGATAAAGTTGAACAAATTCCAACATGCAATGCTTATTTTTGGTTGTAAACAATGGCTTCTATTGCTTCTTTAATGATCCAAGACTTAATTCATGAAGTGCACACTTCACTATATTGGTGCTCACTACCACATTTAAGTATTTACTTAAAGCATTCTTCACATCTACAACATTATGTAATCCATCAATTGTAATGGTTCTTATGGTGTTGTATAGTAACATGGCTATTAGGTGAAAGAAGAAATGAAATATTTTATTATAGAGGAGTTTAAATAAAAATATTTTAGCAAATTATCTTAAAAATATAAATAAAATATAAAGAGGTAGTAAAAATTAATAAATGCTAAAATTACCTTTTTATAGAAGAAACTTTATCTTCTTTATAGAAGCACAAATAAGCCAAATAAAAATAAATGAGATAAATAATTAATATAGACATCTTTATGAAAGAGTTAAAAAAAAGTTTTAACAAAAATTACCTTAAAATACTAAGAATTGATACCTAAAAAGGACCAATAGTGAATCAAGTTTGAAATCAAATCTTGAGGCATAAAAACCCACACCTACAACAACTTTAGGATTCATTTGTTCATCAAAGAGTGGAATTAGACAAAAGACTTATGAGAAGATTTTTGGGAGTTAATTTCATATAATTTGAAGGCATATTGAGGTTTCAAGGATTTTTCAAAGTAAGAGATATATTCAATGGAGGTGAATTTTGAGAAATAAAAAGAAGTTTACAAATTTGAGGATTTTATGGATATCATAGCATATTTATAGGTAAAATTTTGTCAGTTTTTAATTATATTTTTTTAATATTTTTTAATATTTTAATAATTATCAAGTAATCAAATTCGAAGATTATGAGAGTTTTTGTGGGTTATGGTCTTGGATAATTTAAATTTAAAGTCAATGAAGGTTTTTACAATCTCTGAACATCTGCCAATTTGATTGAAGTACAAATTGGTGAGAGCAATTTATACTTAGAAATCTACTCATTAGGTAATTTTTAAAGTAATTCAATAGTTTAGCAAGGAAGAATTGCTATTAGAATATTAATATCTAAGTTGGAAAAAGAAGGCGGTTAATATTTGAATAGTTTAGGAGCTTTTTATTCCAAATTGGTGAGTTGATTTTCTTCAAAATTTGTATGTTTAATAATTGCTCATAGATTAAGATGTTTAATTTTTTTTGGTTAAGAAAATGGTTTAATTAATATTTTTTAAAATTTTAAAACAACTATAATAATTTATTAAGTTTAATTTAGAATTTTTTTAGAATTATTTAAGATTTATTTAGGATTTAGAATTTGAATAGGATTTGAATAAGATTTGGTTAGGGTTTTGTTAGGATTTAATTAATATTTAATTAGAATTTGATTAGGAATATATTAAGATTTAATTAAAATTTATCTAAGATTTATTTAGGATATATTTAATATTTTTATTTTTAGTATTTATTTAGGGTCATAATTTTTTTTATTTTTTTTTATTTTGTATTTCTTTAAGATTTTTTATTAAATTTCTTTAAGAATAATTTGTGACTTCTTTATGTTTCTTTGGTAATTTATTTCAAATTTATTTAAGATTAATTAAAATTTATTTAGGATTAATTAAAATTTGATTAGAATAATTAAAAATTAATTAGATTTTATTCAAGATTTTGTTAGACTTGGTAGGATCTTATTGTTGTATTTTCTATTTACCTTCCACAACTAGGTACTTAGTGTATTCTCAAGCAAGAATTCACATTATACAACAACACATGCTTGTCTTTGAGTATGGATGATGCTTCTTGGATGCTCTCTTCTTGAAGGCTCTACATGAAGAATATACTCTTTATAAATCCTAGAGCATATAGATTGAAAAATATCCAACAATTTTGGCACTTCACATGTGCTATGCCTATGTTGCAATAGGGCTATAGTATTCAATCTCTTTTCTTCTAGTATACTCTCATAGACAAAGAAAATCTTTACATCTATTAAAAAAATATATCTTAAGAGACCACACTTCTAACCAAAAGAGAGAAGAAAAATCTTAAGTTGCATTATGAACTCATTCTTGCAATTAAAGGTGATTAATCAAAATAGTTTCAAAACTAAGTTAATAGATCTAAGTTCATTTGGAATATATATATATATATATATATATATATATTCTTAAGCTAAAATTTAAAGAAATGATAGTGAGCTTGATTGCTTATCTCATCCAATTTTTAATTTGGCAAAAAGATTAATACTCTTCCATATATAACTTCTCAAAATGTGTTGTTTTGCTTATTGACTTAGTTTTAGTGTGAATGTAAGTCATAGAATAAAGTTATTCCAAGCTTTAGTTGATTATAAGAAACCTAAATTACAAAACTTATGTATGTTAACCAACCATATTTCTTGCAATTGACATATTTAATTTAGATGAAGTATCTAAGATAAAAATGACATTATGCCAATTTAAACCACAAACCAGGGCCCAAATTTTGTCACAGTTAGGCATTCATCATAAGTAATTAGGCTATTGCTACACAGTTTAATTATCTTGATACTAATATTTTTAGATAATACTAATGACTACAAAATACACTAGTAAAGTGTATTACAATATATATATATATATATATATATATATATATATATATATTACTTATATTATTAGAAATTATATTTTTTGATATAAAAATAGTTAAAGTATCTTTTATAATAACTTAATTTAGAAATTATAATATATACTTATAAAGACTATGTATAGTTCTTTTAATATATAAATATAAATTCAATAGCACCAATATGTTAAGGTAAAATTCACTCCTTAATTTAAATTAGAATATGATCTTAATTAAGAATTGTTTATAATTTTTGATATAAATTGAGACATACAAAGAATAGGAATAAAATCGGAACAAGCACAAAACAAATAAAGTGAATGTAATCAAGCAATTACACACTCCAAAACTTAGTCACAATTTGTTCATTAAGTTTCTACTTAATAAAAAATAAGAATAAAAAATATAAATTATATTCATATATATTTAGTTCTATTATCTTTTTAATAATGTAAGAAAAATTTAAATCTAATTTATTATAAGTAAGTTATGAAGGTTTAAAGATAGAAAGTAAATAATTAATAAATTAAGTGGT